CCGGGTCATTCTATGATTCTATGATTCAGGGACTCAGGACTGGCAAAAAGCTGCTGTTGTTGCTGATGAAAACAGAGAGAGGATTCGTCAACCCACTGGCAATAGGCCTAGGAGGGCTCCACATGCTGATTTGCTTTTCAGACAGTGTGTTGTCAACTTACACCCCAAAGAGCACTAGAGTGTGAGGTCTTAGGCTAAGATACAGCTTACTCCTGCTGACCATGCAGAGAGGTGGGATTCCCTTTTTAGTTCCGTTTTTCAGTTAGTTCATTTGTAATGTAGGAGGAGACCTGAAGACAAGCTATAAAATGGTACTGTCTCCAGGTGAACTTTCAATTTCACATGAGAAATGAACTTCCAGTTCCCACAACTTTGGAATAAACTGTATCAGCAAAAATACCAGGACACATACTTGCACATTTGCAGTTTCTTTACTGCCCAGCTGACCACTATTATTCAGCCAGACAGGCAATGGCAGATTCTGTCTGACAGCCTTAACCAACTGATAGCTAAGATTTTGGGGGACCATCTGGCATGGCCAAGGTTAAAGCTCCTCCTCTAGCACTGTGCTTAGGAGAGAATGCCCACCCACAGGAAAGGTGCTGGGTAACAAGCATGTGCAGTCACTGGGACAGAGACAGACAAACTGGACAGCAGTGATTCTTTTCTTCTGGAAGGAAGCTTTTGAGGAAGCCTAGCAGCACGATATCCAGTAGCGGTACTGGACTCTTGCAGGTCACACGCTGTTAAAAAACAGCATGGTGAAGCTGTGCCCTCTTCTTTAACAGCATCAGCCTTATTCCCTGTCCTGGTTTCAGCTGGGATAGAGTTAAATTTCTTCACAGTAGCTAGTAAAAGGCTGTGTTTTGGATTTGTACTCAGAAGAAGGCTGATAACATACTGATGTTTATAGCTGTTGCCAAGCAATGCTTAATTAAGCCAAGGACTTTTCAAGTTCCCATGCTTTGCCAGTGTTCAGGTGCACAAGAAGGTGTGAGGGAGCATAGCCCAGAGCATAACCCACAATTACTGGCTTAGGATTCACCCTCAGGTTTAGGATTGAGGCCCAAATTGGCCAATGGTATATTCCACATCATGCTCAGGATATTATGAGGATCTGTCAAGAAGACAGATCTGCCTCTCTCTCTGACTCTCCGGCTCTTTCTTTTCTAGGATTGCGGTTTTGGGCCTCTCTCTACTCTGGGATCATTAGCCAGCAATGGGCTGGGCCTTCGTCATTGGGTGGTGAGCAGCTGCGCTGTGTATTACTCATTTATATATTGTATATTATTATTACTATTATTAAGTATTCATATAATTTTCAAATGTATTGTATTTTAGTTAAATTGTTCTTCTCTCAAGCCATGCGTCTCCTTTCCCTTTACCCCTTTAATTCTCTCCCCCATACCCCAGGAAGACGGGGAGGGTGAGCAAGTGCCAGCATGGTGTTTGCTGTTGGCCAGGTCAAACCATGACATTCCCACAAACACGGAACACATAAAAACATCATTTACTGAAAAGCATCAGCCAAATCAATACAGGATCAACCGAGGAAATGAGCTTTTGGCCCCCTGCCCCATTCTGACAAGGGAGTAATTTATTTACAGCGCTAGTCCCGCTTCCTTACCGTATCAAGCAGCTCGATGACTTTGGAGAAGAAGAACCACCAACACACTCTTGCCATCTGCTGGGCAGCACAAGGAAACACTGTTGGATCTCAAAGCGGAATCACTGCTCAGCCTCACTGCCTCAAATTTTAAACTATGCACTAGGTGAAAGCTGCCTACCTGGGATTGCCAGCAAAGGGGAAAAACTAGAGGGCTCTTTTATGGCTGTTGCTTTTCCAGGGTGGGAGCTCAGAAAGGAGTGTTCATCTGGGGAGAGGAAAGGCATTCAGGGTTGCTTTGGCTGGTTAGATGACTGGTTTCCTAAGTTGCTTGCTCTGTCATGAGGCAAGGGTGAGCTGCTCAGAAACTGTTTCTACCCTGATGGCAATATCTGAAAAACTGAAAATCTAATATTCATACTTGCATCTGTTCAAAGTCTGGATATATATCCAGAAGAAAAGCATAATAGTTCTGAATTCACACTGTTCATGCAGCGTTTTTGAAAGCTGAAGCTGGTGGGACCCAAACCTCCCTGTAATGGCCAGACAAGGAATAGTTTTAGCCAAATCCCCTGCTAATAGAAATGTTTAGTAAGATTTATGCCATGCAAAGTTGAGGATATAAAAATTGGTTTTGTCATTGATAGTGACAAAATCCTTGTATAGCCAATGGAGTCACATATATTTCAGAGGTAATTTGCAATATCTGTACAAACATCTATCTTCAGATTGGAGGATCACCCTCTCTGCAGTGATTAAAGAGGGAATTTAGATGGCTATGTTGACTGAGATTATTAATTTATAGAGAACTAAAGCAAAGTGCAACTGTTGAAGTAGACAACTTAGTGAAATAGATTTACAAGCAACAAACTGGAGTAAAAGCCTTCTTAGGCATGCAAATTGCTATTTATGAGCAAAACAATCTGCATACCCATAGGAGGCGCAGAGCCTAAGGCAAGATTTGTATACAACTATACCCTCATTCCTAGTTCACTTCGGCTGTAATCCACTGGCTGGCACAGGTAGCTGTAGTTGGCCAAGACTGATGTTACCAGAAACTGAAACAAAAGAAAAGCAATAGAGATCCCTTTTCTGTTTAATGCCATCTGTTCCAAAAAGATGTACATATTAAGGTAAGGTAATAAAGTCTCAGTCTAGTATTCACTGACAGAAATGCCATGTAAATTATATAGCTGAGCAAATAGTATAAACCTAAAACAAAGTACTTCACATCCTTGTTGAAACCTGAAAAATAAAATTTGGTCTGGGCATACGTGTAACTCTTTCTGTAATCACTGGCATGCTCAAAAATGCTTCAGCAGGAAAACAGGTCAGAATCTCTCTGAAAATACACTGTTTTCCTTTGCAAAGATCCCATACTGTTTTGTTTTGGCTGGTTGCATTTGCCTATTAATTAGAAAGCCAAAAACTGGACCAAATAACCCGTATTACTGAACAACTGAGCACAGACAAGAGATTTTCATGCCTGTCCTCAGACTGAGTAGTATTTGATTAAAAAAAAAAATCCCAATTTGCATTAACTAAATGTAGAATAGTTTTATAAACTAAAAGGGCAAATTTGTCGATATCAAAATGTTTTGCAAACATATTCAGCCATGTTCCCTTGAAGAGTTTTTTCAGTGGCCTACATAAACTAGGAAAAGGCTTGCAGAAAGGCTTATGCATTGCGAACAAGCAGAGCAGAAAACCATGTCCTCTTGGCAGCAGGAAGCTGCAGTGCGCTTGGCAGTCTTGGAGAGGACTACATAAGTCTGGAAAAGCAGTTCTCATTCTCAGAGACAGGTCTCTCACCATCCAGACCCGAGACAAAGTGAGGAGGTTCCACATCCTCTATATGCTCTGTGTGTCTACTGGGGACATCTCAACTTTTAGCTTGTTCACTGAGGAACCTTTCCATGTTAATTTTACAAACGTGAGGAAGATTGAGCAATGGAGGAAATGAGGTATGCCTTGGAAATAAAGCTTTTAACAGGACAACTGTGTCCCTCTCATGGCAAAACAGACATGACCAAGTCAGCTCTCACTCCCTTCAGTAGAGTCCATCAGCAAGAACTGTTGAACTGGCTCTGGCTTTCAAACACTTCCCGAATGCTTACCTAGGAGCCAATCCTGTTTCCTCACCTCATAAAACATGTAGCTTGATAATATCATCATGGCTATATTGTAGGTAATCAGCAGGCTTCGCAGCTTCAGCGGCTTCCGCTTACGCATGTAGAAGGGCCCCAGTGCCACAACAAAGAGGTAGGAGGCAAAGAGAAGCGTGACTGGAAGTGGAGAGTGGACCAGGGGCCATGGGTCTGTCCTTGGATCTGAAAAGCAAAACACACAGCCAAAGCTGGCACATCCTATACACTGTAAGGCAGATATATTGAGTTACTTCCCTTCAGCCTGCTCTCTGGCAATAAGAAAACCGGGATCTTTTATGTCTGTACAAAGCAGTACCACAGTCCTTCTACTCTGGAGCTCCCTGTGCCGGACTCTGCTAAAAGACTTTAGCACAACATTTAGGTTGGGACTTTAGTACCTAGAAGACTGCTCTGCTAAGCACCAGCCTTCTGCAGCACAGTAGTGAACAGACCTTTCCTGTCATGAGCTGGACTCTTCATCACAGGCTGCAAGACTGTCCCACACATGGGCAAAAGTAGTAGTTCAAAATACATGCAGCAGAGATGCACACAACAAACCAATCAGCTCCTGGATTTTTAGGAGTGTAAATCTTTACTGTTAAATAATAAATTGTTTCAATGACTGGGGCTATTTCTTTCCTGCCCCACAATGCTTAAGACCTCTAAAATTCTCTACCTCTTCATTTTTATATCTACTCATAGGGTAGTCATAGGGACTCTCTTAAAAGCATGCCATTTCACTTGCAAATGACAAAATACTACTCCCTGCTAAAACTGCTCTTCAATTCTTCAGGAATGGGAAGCTCAACAGATTTTCTGTCATGCTGCCTCATCTCTGACCCACAGAAATGCGGGATACATTATATCTGCAAAAACATCCCAGTTCCCCATTCATGCTCTCCTCTCCTATTCCCAATGTCGTCAGTGCTCTGCTAACTCCCTCAGCATGCCCCCCTTTGCTTCCTGACCTGCCAGTCCTAGGCCCCTGGACCCCTCTTCACTATTCTAGCCCCAGGATCCTTGCAGAAGTCCTCTAGTGAATTTTAGTCTTTGGCTCACTGGTGAGCACATAGGCCTCAGGGTATTTTTATAAAACATCGTCCCTGTCCACACAACTCTGTTAGTTCCCATCCCTTCTAAAACTCCCAATCATTTACTGTTTCTCTTGTGAGCTGTGTCAAGATCTCTTTGATATGCCACTTCTGGATTTAACAGTTGGTAAGAAGTCCTGAATCCCAGTTGAGACTCCTGAAATTCAAGTCCTGAAACACTTACAGCCTAAGCACTATGCCCCATGTCCTCCTCCTATCAGACCCACCACGCGGGCTTTGCCATTCCACCTTCATGCTATTTTGTGGCTTTTCCTTCCGTTTATCTCCAGGGATCCAACAGAGCCCCGTGGGACCAAACCGGGCCTGCAGGACCTCTATTATTGAAGATCTGAAGTCTTCTAACTGTAAAATATCAAATCTCAAACACTGAAGAGTGCTTTCTGTCAATATTTCATTTGATAATATGTTTTACTGGCACCACAAAGAGTTTAAACCTCATGGTATTAACTCTTTGGTCTATTAAACTTTCATATGACACGTGAATACGCATTTTAAAAAACTCACTTCTTTAATATTCCAGGCTTAACAGGCAATCCTGACCACATACTGCTCATCATCCTGACAGAGCCTGTTGTACAGTGAACAGAAAGTTGTTGAACGTTCCCCACTATAGGCAGGGGAAATCCCTCATCCCTTCAGTCCTTACTGTGACCCAGCTGGAGTGTCCCTGAGTTACGTTTCAAAACTTAAAGAAGTTCATGATTATGGAGAAGGAAAAGTGAATATTGTCCTAATGAAAAAAATGTGGGCTTATATGAGGATCATCTTTCTTCTATGTTTATTCTTCATGACCATGCTATTTATATGGAGATTCCTATTTAAGACAGCATTCTCTACCTACCTCCACTTTCAAGAACCCAGTTGTAGAATTCCTGAATTTTCTGCCAAGTTGAAGCCATCACAAATTCTGTAAATAAATTAAAATTAGCATCTCCAGGATCACATTAAACCCCCTTAATCCTAGCCTCGACTGAGTCTTGAGTAAGGAAGTTCTTTAGACAAAACTCAGGACTGCAGCTAATGAAAATAAAATAGTTTGCTCTTTGTAGTAATGGAAATTTTGAACCAGGGTTACAGTCATGTTTAAAAAAGGAAGGAAGATAAGCCCTCTACAATGATTAGCTATTTGACTTCTATTTCCAGATTTAAATATTTTGTTGAAGTTTCACCTCTAGAAATACTGAGTAGCTACATGCAAAATACCATGTTGGGAAATCAATCATGATTTTTTGAAGCAGCGTAAGCACAGCATTCATACAAGGACACACACCAGGTGGCATAACTGCATTCCTCTGCAGGCATTCTTGGAGATTCACAATGTTAGCAGACAAGTTTGGGATTAATTCAGTGCTGCTGCAACTCCAAAGAGGTTAAGGGAGCTATGTTGGTTATTTGGCTTTCTGAGGACCTGTTTATACATTAAGTTTGTTTTGCTTTATCCTGTATATATTCTATAATACACTATATTATAATAAAGTGTAATACTCATATACAATATGATGCTCCTCTTCCCTTCTTTCCTTTAGCAGGGCGACCTTTTCAATAGCATTTGGAAGTTCACCTAGAAAACACTTTACAGCAGTTACATTCAACAGCTTGTGTTATCTGCCCTAGTCCTCTCCATCAGCAATTACACAGGCCTAGCTTCTTTCCAGTTTCATGTCCTCCTGGTACTGAAAGAAAAAGCAAATTTTTTTCCTTTGATTTCCCATAGATTACTGAGCATAAGAGTCCCCACACCCCCCTTGGACCTGTCCCCTACTCTCCTGTACCCACTGGGTCCCCTGCAGCAAGAACAGTAGCTTGTGCATTACATGGCAGAGAAAACCATAGCCTAATATAAGGCCTCTTATACTGGTATTAAAGTGCTTTAAGGGGCCTTTTGAATATAAACAGTTCTTAATACCTAGACCACATTTGACCCAGTTCTGCTGGAACTACAAATGCATAGAGCATGTCTAGCACTGTTTACCAGCTATACTTTTGACTTTGCACATCTGGACAAAACCTGTTAAAATTAACAACGTTTTGCTGTATCCCAATTGGATACAGATTTACTGTGGTAAAACATAACAAGCAACAAAACGTGGCTATTCCTACACCTCCCTGTCTGCAGACCTCCCAGCCTGACACGTAACTGCACACGCAGCAAGGTGTTGGTGACAGAAACATACGTATGTTTCTCTGACACTGACCCTGAGACCCTCAGTGCAAGCACATCTCATACGCATCCTGACACAGAGACACACACCCTTGTAATCCAGGCAAAATCTGCCAGCAAAGAGATTAGTCTGTGATTATCAGTTGGCTCCGATTCAATCCAGCAGGGATTTCATACAGTTACATGCCCTCAAACAATCCATACACATTCCATCTCGCTCCACTCCACTTCCTTTGCTTTCCCCAAACCCTCAGCCTGAAATGAATGGGAAAACCCAGGAAGGAAGAACAGACTTACCCTAGCAGTGCAGCTGGCTTCACACCTCCCTTTCTTCAGGGGCGTCCTCAGCATACAGCTGGTGCTCCGCTCACTCTGTGCATGCAGCAGGCAGCAGACTGAGAAGCTGCAAGAGTGTGTGCCGTTAGGCAGACCTCATGCTAGGCTTTCTTCTCTGCCACCGAGGTGAGAACATCGCACACCAGGTCTCACGCTAATGTGGTGGATCCTCACACCTCCTGGGCGCTATTCATGGTCTCCCAGCAGTACCCACCGTAAAACCACCCTGAGCTGCAGGCACCATGGTGTTGTCCTGTAACTCTGCCGGATCAGAGGTTACATCACATACTCCTCCCCCTCATGCCTCTTCCCCGCATGATTTATCAGACTAGGGGACTGGAAAAAAGAGGAAAATTAAAGCAGGAGAGGACTGCCATTCCACAGGAGCGAACTACTGACCTTTAGTGTCACACTTGGGAGCCTGGCCAAATCTTTGTGTGGGAAGCAGGACAGCATTTCTGTTGCAGGTTTCTTCAGGACATCACGACAGCTTTTCAAACAGTGAAAGATGAGTAATCATGCCTGGACAAGCCCCTGGAAAACAGGCTGTTCAGCCCATCACAAGGGGCTGTCAATGAGCCTTTCGTGCACTCAAAATAAGTCCAAATCACAAAGTGAGGGAGCGGAGAATGGCAGGAACACCCACCCACTCACACTGTCAGGGAAGGCAGAGCAAACTCGGCTGGAGTCAGTACCCCACATCCAGCCTCTGTCCCTGGGGGAGTCACCGTTACTGTTTTTAAAGATATACGAAAAAATTTTGAGGAGTTTGACAGTGATACCAAGTTTTCCCCTCCGTGAACTCCAGCAACCGTATAAAGAAAAAACGCAGAGAGCCTTAGTCAGCAGTTGTTCAAGTCAGTAACTGCAGTGCATGGGATTCAGCCTTGTGTGGAGGTACCCGGGCAGAAAGAGCACCCTGGCTCCATCCCACCAAGAAACCACGCAAAGCCAAGTGATGAGGTTCTGCTTGGTCACCTGAGGTGTACCTGCACCTGGGGTGTAGATATGCCCTCTTATTTTCCCAGTGGGCAGAGTTTATTAGCAGAATTCTAAAAAAAATAAGTTAAAAAAAAAAAAAGAGGGTAGCATCATACCTTGTACCACTGTGTTGTGTCTGTCACCAGATACATCACAAGTACTTCTGAAGGGCAAAACAGCAAAGATTAGCTTTTGAAAGCGGGATAATTAGACATACCACGTGGTTGTAGTTTTTAATTGAAACATCACTTGTTGATGCTGCTGGACAACTAGTGTGTTTCCATGACTCGTGGATACTATGAAAGAAATTAAACTGATACTTTTGGAAAAGGTGATTTAGGGTGTAGGCTTTGCATTTTGGGAGTTGGGGGAGTCAGAAGGGCAACCCAGTTTAAGAGAAGGTTTAACTGACCTTTGTAATCATATTGGGGCTTTTTTTGTTGATCCAGGTTGTTTTTAATTCAGGTTCAGGAAGGAAAATGACAGTGAACTTTACATACCATTTTTTACAGAACTTCCTACAAAGGCCCTTTCTTGAAGTTTTTAATTGCTCATTAACCAACAGGTTTCATTTCTAAAGTTTTGGTGCCCAAGTCCTTAAAAAGGTTCAGTGATTTATCTGTGTGAATCAGAGATAATAAATAAGACTAGCGCTTTCTATCTGTCCATTATGTGTCGTGGGACTTATAGCTTTAAGATAGAAGCAATAAAATAATGTTTGTTAAGCTATTTATATTGATGCGTAAGACTCAGAATTACAGACACAACCTTTTCCATCAATCTTTTTTACCCTGGTGAAAAAAAAAAAAAAAACAACTAAAAAAACCCCAAAAAACCCAAGAGAACCAGCTGAGGTGAGTTTTCACAAACACATTTCATTTGGGGCAAAGTATTTTATTGTTCATGTAAACTGATTTTTTTTTTTTTTTAAATACCATGAAGCATATTTCATTTTTTTACAACCTGCCTTGTTCCTTAAGTATTCCCAGTGGTACTGTTGCAGATGTTCATTAGCACAGTGGGCAGATGGAGAGATGACATCAGTAACATGGTACTTTTACACTCCAAGAATGGGTGTCTTTTGATGGATGTCAGTACAACTGTGAGGGCAACTCTATAGGGGCCACAGACAAAAGCCCTCGGGGCTTTCAGTTGCAGCAAAAACTCAATAGAAAAAAAAAAAACATTGCTTCTTCACTGAAATAGTATTAGGGGAGCTCTGAATGCCAAAGTGAATTGGGTTTTTCATTCAATGATTTGTGAAGAAAAAAGTGTATTGCAGGAACATGGATTACAGCCATAGTAATAAGCAACTCAGTTACGTGAAATATGTGACATCTCAGGCAAGTTAATCTGAGATTTAAAACTATTTTAAAACCTGGATATCTCCTGCATATAACATGGATGTTTGCCACAAAATCATTATCAATAACAAATACCAACAGTAAAAAAATTCTGAGAGCTTCTAGACAATTTTTGTTATTTGCCCTTCTGATTGCTGTTCCTTCCAAGCATAGCTCTACTAAAAGCACAAATTAACAAAACAGACCTGTTTCAATACTTGAGAAAGACAGGGAGCAGTGGGCCAGTTTCATCTGGATATCCAGGCTACATCATGGTGATGCTCTCAACACCACAGCAGAGGCTTATCAGATCTGACAGGTCTGTGTTCTTTGCTTTTCCTACCTATACTTCATACGAAGGAGATGTACTGTGGTACATATTTGAAGTCCAAAACCTAATGGGTTCTGACCTCATCTCTTGTAGCAACGCTCTTTGTAGCTGTGAGCAATTTAACTAACTCTCTTAGATCAAAATTATTTATGCACCTAAAAAGTTTATTTTAATTAGATGAAATTACTTGAAAGATGAGAACCGTTTATTGCTGTTAGTCAAGCTGTTACATTAAATTTGATTATTTTTTACTTTTCCAATCTCTAAAACATTTGTATGTTATTATTTCAGTTATCCACTGAAACCAGGCCAAGTCCTATAGGGCAGGAAATTCTCAGATACAATATTCCATTTACATTCATTTCCACAGTTTTATAAAGGTATAAGCTACACTCATACAACACCAACAAGCAACAACAAATTTGCCTGGAAAAAAAAAAAAAAGACTAAGTTTACAAATCAAGCAAACTGACTTTCTTTGTCAGCTTCTAAACTGCAGGGATGCATGGAGTGATAGTAAAAGCAGTGGAAGACAAGATCTCTTCTGCAGCAGAACACACCTTCAAGTAATATCACCAGCTTGCTGAAATCAACAAAACACCAAATAATAGCAACAGGAATTTCAACCTGGTTCAAAGAATATCTAACCAGTTAAAGCACCACAACCTTAACTACCAGCACACACCTACAGATCTGAGGTGGCCAGATACCTTCTAAAACTTGCATATACCTGGCCCTTGGAAAACT